GTCAATTATAGAAAGTTGTTGAAGGCTTGTTTTTATAGACACAGAAGTCCAAGACGTTGCAAGCTTGAAGACCGTGTACTGCAAAGTAGTTGTAGCCTTTTGTCTTCACATGACTTGACCTTTCCTAGAAGTAGAACATTCAGAGAAATCCTTTTTTCCTGAGTTCTTGTGTCTAGCATAAAAGAGGAAAGAGTCGTTTGGAATATGTCAACGGATATAACTTTGAATAATCTTCTTCAACAAGCTTCTATTTCACAGTAATCAACATCAGAGCCTTGAGTGATCAGAGTCTTGATGTTATCAGAGTTTGCTGTATCGGAGTGTTGCAGCAAGTGCGCTTCAGCGTGAGTAATAATCAGAGCAGAGTTTAGAGATCAGATCCTCAGTACTTGCAGCAAACAGTACTATCAGAGTCTTCTGAAAAACAATGCCTGAAACTCTTCATACAAAGTCTTCAGCTACGCTTCAGATGCTTCTGTAGCTTCTGCTTCAGATTCTTCTGTAGGCAGCGCTCAGAGTCTTCTAACGAGATGCTTCTGACGCTCAGAGACTTGCGTAGTTCAATGTTCAGATTCATTTTTGCTTTCAGAAGAATATTAAATTTAATATCTGCAACAAAGATACTTTAACAAATTTAGAGTATATAATTTCTTAATACAAAATTTCATTAGTGTTATCATCAAAACATGGAGATATAACTAAAAACCAATATGTGTTCTAACAGTACAGACAATCCAGGTACTTAGCTAGCTTGGATAGTGGTGTGCAAGTCGAGTCGTAGGATGCTCTGATACGTAACACGGGACTTGGGCGTTTATTTGTTTTATGTTGAATTGTTTTATTTCCTATGACGTATCAAGTTTGGTGAACCTTTTAATGAATGTTTTTGTGTAATTTGGCGGATGGCCGTGAAGGTTGACTAAGGATAATTTATGTTGTTTTATTTTGAAAATCATCTAATGATGAGTATGTTGAATTATTTGGATGTGATATCCCACTTTTGAAAAGAAACTCTGATGTTTAATTGAAATAATTGTATTTTATTTAATTTTGGGAAGTGGGGTGTTACATCTTGACTAGTGATGGTAATGCTTACAAAAGGGAATCTACCTTGTCCATCCATTATAAATTGTTTATAGGAACACATGTCCCAGACATTATTCTCACATCTGCTAAGGAGACTGGGCATTCAACATCAAAGGCTAGAATCATAGCTGAGCTGAAAGAAGCTTGCAAGGAGCTGGATAATGTGATTATTCGTGCAAGAACCTAAAGGAAGCTCTCAAGTTTGAGAGAATGATCAGGTCTCTAACTGAAGAAGGGAATACAGCTGGTAATGATATTGAAAGGGAAAATGATGATAATGATGATACAAGTCGTGCTACTGCCAGTACAAATGATTCCACTAGCAACTGATGAATGGTTTTGTTTGTTTTGTTGTTTCTGTTTTTTTTGGGCGTTCCCCAGGATTATTTTGGCAACTTATGTAATTGGTTTGTACTTCTGTTTTGCTTGCTATCCTAAAAAGGAAGTAGTGTTTGTAAATTTCTTTTGTGTTTCCATTACAGATATTTGTGTTTCCATCAGTGCTTATGCTTTATGCATTTTTTTGTGTACTTTCATATATGTGTGGTTCCATTTATTTTTATGTACATTTACTCTATTTTCGTTTTGTCAACTTTTGGCTAAAAAGGGGCAGTAAAGTGTTGATTTGTTTGTTGTTTCTGATTTTATATCAGATGTCATGACTTTATGTCATGTTTGTACTGCTACTTAGGAAGAGTAGTTTTCCATTGTTGTTGCCTGGATGTATGCAACATTTAGGGGGAGCATGTTAATCTGTTGTGTGTCTGTGTTGAAGATCCTCTGTTGTTGGTGTACAAGATCAGAATGCTTGATCTTGAGGGTGTTTGTAAGTTGGAGTATGTGTTGTTGTGTTTGGGAGAATGCATTATTCTCTGCAGTTGGTTTTGGTGTTCAGAGGAAGTGTGCTTGTGCTTGAGAGTACTAGTTATCTGTGATAGGGGAAGTTGTGTACATGTCTGATCTGTAGCTGCAAAGTTGCATTTTGTACATAGCTTATATTTTCTCATGTAGCTTGTGTTGTTTTATGATGTCAGGCCTGATGTCTTGATATTGTGATGTCAGGTGTACTCTATTAGTTTGAGAGCATTGTGTTTGGGTTTCTTTGTTTCTGTTTTAATTTCGCCGTGTTTGCCTCTAATGTGTGCTAAGGTTGTTTTAGGCAAAATTTGCCAAATGGAAAGATTGTAAGTTCTGTGATTTTTGGATTAGCTACATTTTGGTAAAACAACATGTTGTTAGCAAGATATTAAAGCAGATGTTCTTCCATGACAGTCAGACATCATGTTCAGCATGATGTTGTGACATGTTCCAGGACATGTTATACTAGAAAGTTAGGGCATGACTATTTTGGTATTTTTAGTGTAATTTTTTAGTGTGTTCTGTTTCACACGTGTGCGTTATTCATGGGAGCATATTGTGAGAATTTTTGTTATGACACATTCTGTTAATTTTCATATAAAGGTTCCTTGAGCCTTTTTAGGAAATTTTGTATTTTGTTCCTATTATTGTGCAGGATGATTTGCAGTGAGATAAAACTGATTACTGCTATTTATGCGCTTCAAGAAACCCAAGGCCATTAGGTATGAAGGCTATTTAAAGTGAAAACCAAACCCTATTGAAGTAGAGAACAACACGTGAAGAATTTGGGAATAAGGATTAGCCGTGTTTTGCTTGGTGTTTAGGGTTTAGTGCTTGTTAATTGTATGTCACTCATGTATCTTCTGATACATGAGGTAGACTGATTGTTTATTGTTAACTTTCCACTCTAAAGCTTTTAAGCAAGAGTGTATTGTCCTTAGTTGATGCTTGTAAGAAAAACTAAGTATTGTAGTTGGAAGAGTGTTCTTCTTCTTTTTGGTTTTATGAGGTATTGTCACTGGGTCTGTGACTGATTAGGAAGTGAGAGGGGGATCTCATATTTAGAGGGTTTCTAGGTAGAAGTTGCACAAAGTAATGATTAGGTGAGAAGTTATAAACGGGGAAGTTTAGCTTTGAACTAATGTTATCATAGTGAATTTCCTTCCTGGATTGGTAGCCCTCATATGTAGTTGAGTTGCACCGAACCGGGTTAACAATTGCTGGTGTTATTTTTACTTTTCTGTCATTTAAATCTCAGCATTTTTTATTTGTGTGTTCAAGCTGTCTTGATCCCGGTGTTGTGACATCTGCCTCGACTGGTATCTGCGTGTTAGAATTTCACTTTAAAATAAAAATCTAGTCTCAATTAAATGGTTACTCATAACTTAATTTATTTATTTTATAATAAAAATTGATTAGGGGAGACACTCTTATGCAAAGTCAAGATAGCTATTAGGGAGTACGCGGTGCAGTTTGGGTTGTTTTTACACTAAAAGTCATCCGAACCGCAAGAGAAAATAATGTGCGGTTTGATTTGTTTCGGTTGGCTTTTAAAAATAAAACCAAACTAAACCAAACCAATCCAATATGTTTTGGTTCGGTTTCTCACCAAAAAAAACTATTGAACTATACAAGCACATGTAGATGACAACATAACTTTGTATTTACTCATTTATACAGTATCAAATAACAACAAAACTCATCATATTTGGACAACAACTTTCAATTTAATATATAAAAGTTATAATAGACAAAAGTGGAATAATAAACATAAAACAATATCAAAAATATTATAATGAAAAAAAAAATAGAAGATGAGAAATTAGTGAAGATGAAAAAGAAAAAATATAAGAAAAATGAAAAAGAACGGAAGAGATGAGAGATTTTAAAAGAAGAAGTGCGACAAAAAAACGAAATTAAAAGAGATAATACTGACATAAAAATGAGAAGGTGAAAAAGAAAGAATATAAGAAAATATAGATTAAACAAGAAGAGACAAGATGTATTTGGAGAAGAAGGCGTGATATTACTATGAGAGATTTGAGAAGACTGAAACTAAAACCCTAAGTGTGAGAAAGAGAAAATTGTTTGTAATCGTAAGACTAAGACATAATAGGCTTATGTTTGAATTGGATGTGAGTTAAGTCAAATTTAGATTGTAAAATAATGCAGTTTGATTTGGTTTGTAAAATACAAATTGCAAATCGAACCGAACCGTACGGTTTTATTAAAATATAGTCCAAACAAATTCAAATCAAATATGACTTTTACAATATTTGTTTTACTTTAGATCAATTTACGATTTTTTATTTGATTGATTTGATTTTGTACGTAGCTTAAACTCAATGAAAATTTACAATAAAGTTTAACTAAAACTTATTAACAAAAAATTCCACACCTAGCTTAAATGAAACATCTAATCATCTGCATCTTTCAATTAATCTCGGACAGTAAAGAAATAGGAGTGCTTTGAGAGCATAACCTACAAAATATAAATATAAAGTTACAAATAAAACTAAAATATTGTTAGAATACATTCTAATTTTTTTATTTTGGATGAATATTTATATAAAAATAACTCCTCCTCCTCTTCAAATTGTATACATTTTTAATATGAAGTTCATATTTCAATTGAGAGACAATTGACAGAAGAGAATCCACTCCCCAATATCTTATCACTATCAAATGGCTACAGTTGATCAAGAAAATTTTAATATAGCATTGATTTCAGTACTGTGAAAATTTATGTTGTTTCACTGCATTGTCAATGTACCTTTAAAATCTAAACATGGTAGTTTGATCTGCATCTATAACCTTAAATAGTAATAGAAGCATTTAACCATCCAACCATACCTCATAATGACACTAAATTCTCCTCAACTACCACATGACTCCAAGCACGTGGCTTGCAATATATGATATACACAACCAAACCCATACCCTTTTTCCCCTATATATATACTTCAATCCATAACATCTCAAAAACCACAAAACTTTGAATCTCTTGCTAACTTAGTCTATAATTTGTTATATCCTTGCAACATTTGTGTCTCATCATGGGTTACTCAACTGTGGTTACTAAGGTTGTCTGTTTGGCAATTGTGTGTCTTGTGAGTTTTGGTCCTAATGCTGGAGAAGCTGTGCCTTGTGGTCAAGTTGTGAACAGCTTAATGCCTTGTGTTTCTTACATAATGAATGGTGGGAGTGTGCCTCTGCGGTGTTGTGATGGAGTTAAGGGTCTTAATAACATGGCTCGAACCCCAGCAGATCGTAGAGATGTTTGTACCTGCATTAAGAATGCTGTTACCTCAAGTGGTTTCAGTTACTCTAACACCAATCTTGGCAATGCTGCTAGCCTTCCAACTAAATGCGGGGTTAATATTCCTTACCGTATCAGCCCCAATACCGACTGTAAAAGGTACTAGTTTCAATATTTACATATCTATATTCATATAACACAAAGGTAACCAACCTTTAGTACATATGTCTGAATCTGATGATTTTTTTTGTATTGATGCAGTGTGAACTGAGGTTGAAACATGATGTGTGGAGCAGTAGATCAAGAAGGATGTTATGTTACTTTATAGTGTGAGAATAAGAGAAAGAACAATTGAAGTTGCTTCTTTCTGGCTTTATATTATTGTACTGTGTGTTTGTGTTTGTGTGTGGTTGTGCTGTTTGTGAACACTTTGTGGACACTATAGCAGAAATAGGGAGTTAAGTATTAGAATAAGATGATGGATATTGTAAGCTGTTGTTCTTTCTTAACTAATGATATCTGATGTTACTAAATAAACTCAAATCAGTTTCAAACAAATTCTTCTAAATGTTCCAATTAGTCATTCAATTGCAAATTGTGGAAAAAACTATGTCACACTAAATGTCGAGTTAGTCGGTTACCAAGATATGTTAGGTGCGTGTATCAAATAAAAGAAATTTCAATAGAAAAAAATATGCACCAAAACAAAACTCGGGATTTAAACCATGAACCTAAGTTATTATTTTACTTAAATAAGTAGATCTTTTAAAATGAGATAGTTTACATGGGTCAATACTACATACAATGATATTAAGAATCATGTCCGCAAGACATACTTATGAGGCAAGAATAGATTTACTTATAATGTTTTAAGGTTAGGTCGAGAATTGACCTGCTCTGATACCAACTGTAATGACCCGTAAATATATATCAAGAATAATATCTTACAATTGTTATTATTTGGTACTGACAAAATCATAAGTGCCTATTGACATCATTTACATACTTGACCAAGATATGGAAAGTGTCAAAAAAAAAAAAATCTAAGATCTAAGTACAATATATGTTATTGTACAAGATACACAGTGGAATATCATAATACATGTTTCCCTTGAAACATCAATGCAAAAATATTCTTTTATACTAAACCTGCAAATAATACCTAAAAAATAACAACAATATTAGAGTGAGATAATAATTTCAGTGAGTCTCCCTATACTATGGATTCACTCGGCTCTACAGAATTCTAATCAAATCCTAACTCAAGTCATAAAAGGGGATAAGACTTGAGCTCACAAAATTCGCAATGTACGGAAACATGGCTTTTGATTTCATCTACTCAAACAATCACTAGCTCAGAAACTGTACCAAAGCATCTTTCCCCGGGAAACTCTACGTCTAGATTTATCGACACGGGTCACGGATCCTTATATCATACTTTGACATACGCATGGATTTTAGATTCTAAGGGATAACATAAACCTTACAAATCTTCGCTTCCTATGGGACTCCAAACCCATTTCAAGACTTTCACTTATATGGGACTTTAACCCACTTAAGGTTCCATCGTTTTTAGGGACTCAAATCTGGTCAAATTAATGGTGCGTACATCCCAGATCTTATTTTATAATGACATAAGATATCACAACTGATATTATTTCATCTAATACCAATTGACCAATTATTAATGTTACCAAAATGTCTCCTCTTTAACTTATTAATAATGATCATTTTCTTTGATAATAATTCATCTCTTCAGAGTCTGTTGATTACTCTATTGGTCCTAACTGACAACATTTAGAGCACTTAAGAGCTCTAATTATTCTAACTGACAAAAGATAGAGCACATAGGAACTCAGTTGATCTCAAGTGATACTCAATTGAGCATTTTAGGGAATATGGGATATTACATCCCCCCCTAAATAGAAATTCTCCCCTGAATTTCCTCAACTCAATGATAACCACTTCTTGCACCATCGTCCCATGTCAATGCTTGACTTTGTTTCGGTTAAAAATTTTGACATACTCAATCATTCAACTAGTCTTCACTAATAATTTCCCATCTATCAAGAATTCTCAAACTTTATGATCTAAACCATATTCTTTCTCCAATATTTGATCAACTTCTAAATTGGTTCCCACTTAATTCCTTTGACATGCCATTCTGAAACACTCAGTTACTTCCCTTCTGGAATCTACAACTCCCTATTCTTGTACTGAGTCGCACAAGACATAACCATGACATCTTATCTTGGTGTAGATAATCAACACTCTTTAAATCTTCACGAGATAATTTACTAAATTCTTAACCACACGCATTACTGATGATACTTCTCTTATAGATCCTTCAACTATTAAGACAACTTTATAATCCATGTATTGATATCCTTATCAACTTCACTCGTCCTGATACTATATGCTGCAAGCGTCTACACCTGATGCTTCACTTCTCTCATACTCATCTAATATGATAGTGCACTTAGCACGAGATTGGATCGAGCTACTTCATCCATCACATTCCACTACGCTACTCTGATTCCAACAGTGGAATACCTCAAATTTCTAGGCACTAATAGTTAGTTAACAATATGCATAAAAACATACTTATTTCCCAGAGTGCCCACCATCCAAAACAGTATTAGAACCTTAATAACATCCATTAGTATAATAACTTTCTTGCTGACATGAGATTCCAACCAATTGTAGAAATATTACCAACAAGAAACTCAAATCATCAAAGATCCAACACTTTCAAGGAACTCTAACCAACTAGGATGTATCTACGAGTTTCCATACTACTTATAAAGTCACACAACTCGTTCACACACATCCAAAATTAACATTGCACTTCTTGTCCAAAAACAATCATCAATCTCAAATATTCTTTTCCATTTCCCACAACTTTAGTTTGTGTTCTCTTTCACATACTATCCAAGTCACATGCTTAACTTCATAAATCTCTCATTCCCACTCTTGCCCGGAAGGATAACTTACAAATCCTTTCAAAAGGGTAGGATAACATTGTATACATCAGGTACCACTCTCATGGGGCCTACCTTTCATACCATGCATCTAGGTGAAGTTACGACCATGGAATCAAAGTCAACAAACCAACAACCTATAAGTAACATCATCATGTCATGATCAAATTAGGAATAACATAGTTTCCTCATATGATTTATCAATATAAACACAACATCAATTCAACATCAACACAAAACCCTAGTTTTCCTCCTCCCCCCCCCCCCCCCCTCCACATGAATTTCTTTCCCCAAAGCTAAATCTAACTTTGGAACTCACCTTGGAGATGAGAATGGAGATGAAGTTGGTGATATGATGAGCTTCCTTGATCTTCTTGTTCTTCCTTGAGTGTGTTATTCTCTTTCTCTTTTGGTTTCTTCTCTTCTTCTTTTTCTCCTTTCTCTTCCGCTTTTTTTTTCTTTCTTCCACTCAATATAAATACATATTATATAATTATTATATATAATATTAGGTACAGATATAAAATATCTCAATAGATATTATGTCTTCCAGTACCAATTGACCAATTATTAATGTAACCAAAATATCCCCTCTTGTACTTAATAATGGTCAGTCTCTTTTAAATAAAAATTGATCTCTTTTGAATTCACTATTTACTCTATTGGTCTGAACTAACAACACTCAAAGCACATATGAGCTCAAATTGTTCTAATTGAAAAAAGATAGAGTACATAGGAACTCATTTGATCTCAACTAACAATCAATTGAGAATTTAAGGGTATATTGAATATTACAATCAACATGGAGACAAATGAATATCACAATATTCTCACACAACTTTGTGTACAAACACTTGTAACAAGAATTAGATGAAGAAGGTTTTTAGATAATCATGCATGATGATGCAAGAAGGTTTTTAGATGAAGTGAGAGATGAAATTCTAACCAATTTAAAGTGATATAGTATGAATTGCAATGAGTACCTTAGTTATGTTCACTTGTCTCAAATATTCACTTGAATTTCTATGTTCAATCTTCTTGATCAACTTCATCATTGATGTGCATGACACTTTTAAAGTTTTTATTTTTTTTATATTCTATGTCTTAGTTATGTTCACTTGTCTCAAATATTCACTTGAATTTCTATGTTCAACCTTCTTGATCAACTTCATCATTGTTGTGCATGACACTTTTGAACCTTTTCTTCTTTGATAGTCTTTGTTTTTATCAAAATTGAACTAGATATAAGATATATTCTTCTAAATCTCCCCCTTTTGATGATGACAAACTCTTTGACTTTGTATTTTAATAATGACTGAAAGTTTCTCCCTAAGTTGTCTGTCGTCCCCCTAATTTATGAATTTTTTGTTCATTACCAGGAAGCACATAACCTTCTGGTTGCCCCGTGCAAATATCCTCATCAAGATCTCTATTCAAGAATGTAATTTTTACATCCATTTGATGAACTATAAGATCATGCAAAGAAACTAATGCAAACAATACTCTAATTGTCATTTCCCTTGCTACTAGTGCATTTGTGTCGAAATAATCAACATCTTCCTTTTTTCTAAAATTCTTGGTTACTAATCTATATGTGTAGATTTTTAGTGTGAAGGTGAGAAAGGTACACAATAAAGGGGGTTGAATTGTGTTTTTCTTTTTCTTAATTTGCGTCTGATCAAAATTCATAATCTAAACTGGTGTTCAGATTTTGGTTATACTTAGCAGTGGAATGTTAACAGAAGCAAATACATAATAGCAGAATACACAAAGGTTTATATTAGTTCCTCCCAAAAGAGAGTAGTCCAGTACCCTTGCTTCACAAGATATTTTTACTATAATCAAATCATGATTACAATTGCTTAAGCATTCTGCTTAAGACTTTTACAATGATCAGACCCTAAGTTCGAGACTTCTTGCTTAAATCCCTAAGGATCAAGACTTCCTTGCTTAGACCCTCAGCCTAAGACTTTCCTGCTCAGGTCCCTTAGACCTGAGACTTCCTGCTCAAGCCCCTCAGGTCCAAGACTTTTTGCTCAGACCCATGGTCCAAGACTTCCCTGCTCAAGTTCCATGAACCCAAGACTTCCTGCTTAAACCCCTCAGGTTCAAGACTTTTGCTCAGACCCTCAATCCAAAAATTCATTGCTTAAATATCATAGATTCAAGACTTTTTCTCAATCAATCCACTTAATTAAGACATTTGTTGCTCTAGCACATAGCCGGAGACTTACATGGCTCAAGCATCTTGCTGAGAGACTTAGTTTCTCAATCAATCCACTTGATTAAG